CTAAACCGAGGACTAAACCAGGACTAAACCAGGACTGAACCGAGGACTGAACCGAGGACTGAACCGAGGACTGAACCGAGGACTGAACCAGGACTTGGAATCTAGGACCGCCTATGAGAGAACCCCGAGCCCGTGGAGCAGGGTGTCCTCAAAGCGAGATCGGGCGTCGGCTGCGAGTCGCCCCGTGCAGCGTGCGGTTCTGCGTCGGTCCTTTCGCCCGCGGACACCTGACAGTCTACACGGGCGCACCTCCTGGCCCGTCCTGACATTCGGAACCGTAACTATGGCGATTTTAGCGACACTGTATGAAGAAAAATGAAAAACCCACCACTTCAATCCAGGTCAAAAATGACATTTGTACCGAGTAAAATATAAAAAATTTTTCCTCTGTAATGCCGAACATCACCAACGCATTACAGTAATTTGTTACTTTTATAACTTGTTACTTCCAACACTGCAGGTTACTCATCTTGTTTTCAGATTTATTATCTACTTACTAGTTCTGAGATGCTTCATTCTAGTCTAGTCTAGAGGTCGTTTATTTTAAGATATTTGTTAAGTAAAATGATCTTGCTGCATGGACAGATGATTTCACTACTTTTAAATCATTTTCTGATAGATTTAAGTGTTTATGTCTTAATTTTATCAGAGTGGGGTGTGTGGTGGTAGCAAAAAACTGATTCATATCATATAGCTCGATATATGTTTCAAAACGTCGTAGAAACCGTCATGAACCTCGCAGCTGTTAGGATTCGTTCGATCCTCGCACGAGGTTTAGCAGTGGTACTTTTTTATAATTTATAAACTTTAATCGCTCTAGTTAGATAATGGTTGTGACGTATGTATGCGCCAGTAACAGGGCTAACTGGCTTTTTAAACTTTTCCCAAATCCCGTAGGAAGGAGGACAATAACGTCTTTCCCCTTGATAAAATTCACCAAACATTCTTTGGTCCGGCTTTAAATCCTCGATCTCGGGAATCGTTGACAACACTGAATATATGGCTCTTTGCTGATTGGCCGGTGCCCAAACTTCCACTTTCAGGGTTTTGATTCCTGACCTAGATGCTGGAGAAAAATTAAATTGAGGCTAGTGCGGTGGTGTAGTGTGGTTCGTATTCTCATCGCACAACACCAAGATTCCAAGTTTAGGTTTTGGTGTCGTCTGTGTCTTTCTGTGGGAAGTTTGGATTTTAGTTTGCTCCAGTTTCCTCTCCCTGAAACATCCCACTGCATTACTATTTGGTTCTTTTGGATTCAAGGTTCCCACTCTTTTTCACGGACAAAATTTCAAAACTTTACCATGATTTTTTTCATGACCTAAAGCAGGGGTCTCCAATCTGTAGCTCTCCAATCCAAATTTCTGAATTACACATATTGTCCTGAATAAGTAAAATTTGATTATCATTGTACATGTATAATTTTGAATCCTAACTCTGTACACTAATAAATGGACAACGGTTTATGTTTTATTTCTAACTGTACTTCATCTAAGGCCGTGGCTCATTTATATTTACTCAATTTCTTGTGAACGTTAAAACTAGAAGCTCTCTGGCATTTTTGTTTTGCAAGAGTAGCTCACCGGAGGAAAAAGGTTGGAGACCCCTGACCTAAAGTGAATTTTCCATGACTTTACGGCACCTACATGTGTAAAACTGATCAGACTTTTAGGGCTAAACCCTTATTATTACTTTGGTATTATAGTTTAACATTCAAAATACTGTCAGTGCATTTATTGTCTTTTTTTTTTTCTCAAAGAGATACTAAAATTCCATGACTTTTCCAGTATTTTCATGACTGTGGGAACCCTGTGGATAAATTTTTTTTTAATTAGAGCTCCAGAGAACTAAAGTGTGGATCTGTTTTTTTCTTTTCTGCTTAATTTTGTGCAAATTTTGACCCAAATTTCATCAGATCTGTAAGTCTATCTACCAGAACTTACCCCAGTTTGCCAAACCAAAACCAAAACAGGGACAATAGACTGTAAAAACCTCCAGCTAAAGTAGTCCTGACCAAGACCAAGCTCAAGATCTGGAGATGGTCAAAGGCAGATGACAGATTTCTCCGGGGACAATGGGGACAACGAAGTGTATCTAAACCTTCTTCAGTTGCTTTTGTACCGTGTCAAATCACAATTTTTTGCATTTGTTCAGAAGGATAAGACTTTAAAAAATGCTTTAGAGCAAAAAAACAATAACTAATGTATATTTCCAAGTGTCCAAACCACATTGTCAGGACACAAAGGCAGCGTGCGATGCCAAACGCTGAGGTCTACCAAACGTTGTATTTAATAGCATCAACTCACTGATCAAATAAACGAATGTTACAAGGACACGCAGCAACTGGATACACAACACTTTTTCACAGCGGCTCACAAAAACAAACTGGAAATTCTCTTTCTTTACACCCAGCAGCGTCCCACTGTCACCGTCAATCCTCTAAACTACAGAAAATACAATTTATAATCTCAAAAATCTGAAATCTTTTGGACAACGTGAAGCGAAAACGTAAAGCGATCTTCATTTCCAACTAACAGACTGACCGCTCTGACAGAACGGTGGAGGTCAGGGGTCACAGGAAACGCTTTTCATTAGCATTAACCACAAAGAGCACTTGAGGAGGAATGCGTCTGCCGTCACGCCAAAGAGCAGTTCAAATAAGGCTCTTAACGCCAAACACAGCGCTGCTTCTGTCCACTTCAGGCTGAGGGTGTGATTTAAGGTTAATTAGCGAAGTCTGTGCCGTTTAAGCGTCAAAAATAGACTCGTTTTTGCAAGTTTAGGAGTAAAAACTGGTAAAATCCGCACAAATTATCGGAAATTTTGACATTATCTGGTTCTAGAATGTGAATTAAAAGTTTTCCGATCAGCAAGCATCAAGCAAAACGAATAATAAAGCAACAATGTAAGAAATAATGTCGGTTTCTAGGAGCCACAATCTCATCAAGAAGTCAAAAATATCGCCTCTTTTTATCAGTTCAGAATCTTTTTTAACAAGAACTTTCTCACGATCATTATCTGTGCATTGACATTTTGCAAGATTCCATTTTGGGGCATTTTCTGGCGTCTGTTGGTCGACAAAGCGGACATTGTTCTACAGACCGAAGCAGCAACGCAAACTTATAGCTCACACTCATATACTGAAAAGACTATAGGTACAGTTTCTTTCTTATAGAATCAGTTCACTGCCATAAGAAACCTACAACTTTTTAATACTACCGCTTTTTATTATGTAAAACATGGACAAATTTGGAAATAACGTCTTGGGTTCTTTTTAAAGACGATACAGTAGGAGATTTATTTACTTTTTGAAGAAGTTAAGGTACAAAAGAAGATAAAAATCAATGTTTGAGGATTAAAATTTTAAATATGTCTTGAGCTACATTTACACGGTATTGTGTTAATGCAGGGTTTTAGTCCTCGGTCTAGTCCTCGGTCTAGTCCTCATTCTTGTTCTCCGTCTCGTTCTCGGTCGAGTCCTTGGTCTCGGTTCTCGGTCTCGTCCCCGTTCTCCATCTCATCCTCGGTCTAGGCCTTGTTCTTCGTCTCGCTCTCCGTCTAGTCCTTGGTCTAGTCCTCAGTCTCGACCTTTGTCTTGTTTTCAGTCTAGTCCTCGTTCTTCGTCTAGTCCTCGTTCTTCGTCTAGTCCTCGTTCTTCGTCTAGTCCTCGGTCTTCCTCCGTCTAGTCCTCGTTCTTCATCTAGTCCTCGTTCTTCATCTAGTCCTCGGTCTAGTCCTCGGTCTAGTCCTCGGTCTCGTCCTCGGTCTCGTCCTCGTCTCGGTCTCGTCCTCGATCTAGTCCTCGATCTAGTCCTCGATCTAGTCCTCGTTCTTCATCTCGTCCTCCGTCTCGTCCTCGGTCTCGTCCTCGGTCTCGTCCTCGGTCTCGTCCTCGGTCTCGTCCTCGGTCTCGTCCTCTCTCGTCCTCGTCCTCGTCTAGTCCTCGTTCTTCATCTAGTCCTCGGTCTCGTCCTCGGTCTCGTCCTCGGTCTAGTCCTCTTTCTTCATCTCGTCCTCGTCTCGTCTTCGTCTCGTCCTCGTCTCGTCTCTCTCGTCCTCGGTCTAGTCCTCGTCTCTCTCTGTCCTCGGTCTCGTCCTCGGTCTCGTCCTCGGTCTCGTCCTCGTCTCGTCCTCGGTCTAGTCCTCGTTCTTCCTCTAGTCCTCGGTCTAGTCCTCGGTCTCGTCCTCGGTCTCGTCCTCGTCCTCGTCTCGGTCTAGTCTCGTCCTCGTCTCATCTAGTCCTCGGTCTCGGTCTCGTCCTCGGTCTAGTCCTCGGTCTCTCGGTCTCGTCCTCGGTCGGTCTAGTCCTCGTTCTTCGTCTAGTCCTCGTTCTTCGTCTAGTCCTCGTCTCGTCCTCGGTCTCGTCCGGTCTCGTCCTCGTCTCGTCTCGTTCTCCTCGTCTAGTCCTCGTCTAGTCCTCGTTCTTCGTCTAGTCCTCGTCTCGTCCTCGGTCTCTTCCTCGTCTCGTCCTCTCGGTCTCGTCCTCGGTCTAGTCCTCGGTCGGTCTAGTCCTCGGTCTTCTCAGTCCTCTTTCTATCTAGTCCTCGGTCTCGTCCTCGGTCTCGTCCTCGGTCTCCTTCCTCTCGGTTCTCGTCCTCGGTCTCGTCCTGGTTGAGCCCAAGTTTTGCTTCTGATTTAGTCCTGAAGTAGATTTTGTTCAGTCCTGTTCTGGTCCGATTCTAGTTTGATTCTAGTCCCGATCCTAATTCCAGTTCTGGTTCTAGTCCCAGTTTAGTCCTGCAGCAGGTCTGATTCATGCCCCGGTTATTGGTTCTGGTGTTTCTAGTCCAGGTTTCAGTCCCAGTTTAGTCTTGACAAAGGTTTTAGTCCCTGGTCTGGTTCTGTCCTTCAAGAAGATGTTCTAGCCCTGGTGTTCACATTGGCTCAAGAATCTTCATTTAATCGCGGTCTAGTCCAGGCTTAGTCCCAGTTAAGACCAGAGCAAGACCGAGTGCCGCCTTAAACTTCATAATCCAGCAGCCAGCGTCAAAATATCGCCCTACCTAGTTTCTCGACGAGTTTGAGCATGACTCCTCCGATGTGGATCTCCCCGGTGACCCTGAGGGACACGTCTCTGTTCAGGTCGGTCACGTGCATCTTCAGCTCCCACGTCCCGTCGGCGTAACAGCCGTCGGGCATCCGGATCCCGTCCAGAGCCATCCTGGAACACAAACACAGAGTTACACGGGAGTCAGTGGAACGAGGAGGAGGAGAAGGAGGAGGAGGAGGAGGAGGAGGAGGAGGAGAGGGACGTGGACCAGAGCAAAGTTAATGAGAAGACTGAAGAGCACGGAGGAGGGCAAAAAGCACCTAACTGCACTTTTTTTTTTTTTTTTTAATACTCATGTGATGTACGCTTGTGTTTGAATATTAATTTCACATTTTACAGTTGGCATTTTAATTGGCAATTAATAAGACAAAAAGGTTAAAACAGCAAGTATTTCACAACATGTACGACTTGTAGTGGTCTAAACTGCAGAGTTAAGAGTGATGTAACAATAACAGAAATATCGTGATATCGTATCGTCAAAGTTCTCACAATAACATCGTGGACCATCACAATATATCGAATTACAAGTCTCTTTGCTTAAATTAAGTGTTATGGTGCAGCAATAGCTAAAAAAGACAGAGGGAACTACATAGACCATGATCCTTTGCTCTGTTTCAGTGCAGACGACAAGAAGAAATAACAGTTCTAAACACTTTTAAGTCTTAGTTCTTTGGATTAAATCTTGTCAAGGCATTTTAAGAGGAAAAAATACCATATTAACCTCGACAAAATATCGCAATAAATATCGTACCGTGAGATTTATATCGTGACAATATCGTACAGAGAGATTTGGATATTGTTACATCCCTAATCGTGAGCGTTCCCATGATATCGCAATAAATATCGTACCGTGAGGTTCACACGATGACTATATTGTATCATGAGACTTGGATTTTTTTACACCCCTATTAGTAAAGTAAATTGGCAGCAGCATAAAACTGAGTGATTCTTTCTCATATTGTTTCTCTTCTTCATTGACCGCAAAGCATTCTGGTCTTTGTAGTTTAGATTTTTAGCAAAATACTCCAACAAAACTGTGTATTTTTGGCTTTTGACCTGAGATCGAATAAATTCTCAATAATAATAATAATTAGGGCTGTGCAAAAATACTGAAATATCGATATATCGTATAGTTTAATGTGATGAAACAGTATCGATATTGGGGACTGCTGTACTGATATGTCGCCAAGAGCATTTTTTAGTATATTTTACGAAATGATTTTGATACAGCGCAACAGTTTTGTTGCTTGTTTAAAGGAAGAAAACTCATTTATGCGACACATTTGACATTTTCACAGTTTTGATGGTTTTTCACATGAACTTTGCACAAAAAGCGGTTTAACAAAGACTTTTAGTGTCACAGCCATGATTTAACCTTTATTTTTTATTGAACCGTGTCGAATCAATTTGAAATATATTGTATCGAATCAAATCGGCAACTTCTTAATGATAGCCCAGCCCTAAAAATAATGATTTTTTATTTTTTTTTTTTTGATAAGTGATAAGTCAAACTATTAAATTGCAGGGTTTTTAAAAATACATTTTTAACCACATAAGTGTTGTTATATTGTGAGTGACAGCTTCTGTAACACTGCAAAAATAAGAACTTGTTTATTCCTTTTTTCACATTTGCATTTTTTAAAGTGATAATCATCTTTTGTCGTGTGTTATTGTCCAGTTTGGGCTTACAGTTCTCTTCATAATCAACCGTCTGCCGTTCACCGTCAGCTTAAACACACGACGGCGCATGTTCCATTCATAATAAAGCATCAATTATGTTCCATCACGGCCGAGTTTGGCCCGTTCTGTTTTAACAGCGTCTCTCTTTAAACACAACATGTGCTGCTGAAAAACTAATGGAGTCTGCAAACCACATAAACCCAATACTTTCTTCTAAACAGAGAAAGTCGAGTTAAGCCGGTCTTTTGTGTGAGTCTCCAATCTGCTTACACCACACTCACCACCTAAGTGTACTAATAGCCCGCTGCTGGCATAGGAATATTGGAATTACATGCAATGGAAATAGCTCGGGTCTGAGAGGACTGGGAAAACAGACAGAATAACACATCCAAAGTCAATTCAGCATGCAAGAAATAATATATGGGTTGATATTTTTGAGTTCATTTCTTTTTTAAATGTGCATTAAGTCACTTTTCTGGCCGCTGGAGATGTTACCGTATTGCCTGGATTTTTCTACAATACGGCGTTTTAACTTATTTATCTCGGGTTTATTCGGTTACAAGCCGATTTTTTGCTTCGAAAAACACGCGTTCTTACAGTGAGCGGGGTCGCCTCTCCACGGATTTGACCTGTAACTTAACAAGATCGTTCTAAAGGTTCATTTCTGTCCTGCGAATGTGACTTTTTACTAGGGATGTAACGATATTCAAATCTCTCAGTTCGATATTTATTGCGATATTTTTGAAGAGGCTGATATAATTGTAGATTTGTGGGACTTTTTTTTTGCTTTTAAAATACCTTGATAAGATTTTGGTGTGAATTATTTCCATCATAATCCCAAAATTCAAGTCAAAAACGTATTTCTTCATGTTGTCTGCGCTGAAATGAATCATGGGATATGTAGTTTCCGATGTTTAAAAGCTGTTGCTGCTATAAAACCATGAATTTACGCAAAGAAATTTGTAATTTCCGAAAAATATTGTGAGACTTTTGACGATACGATATCACGATATTTAAGTTATTAGTGCATCCCTGCCTTTTAGTATCGATGATATCAGCTTAAACGAGTTTCGATACGAGTTTTAGTGTCAATTAGAATCAGACTTTCGATTCTTTTGACTAACGCTGTGCAATTAATCGAATTTGTGTGTCAAACGATCTCCAAACTCATATGATCAAATTGAAACTCTTAATGTTAAAGTTTATTTTGGGGTATTTTTTATATAAATAAGTATATTTATTTAGTTTTTTTAGATATAGAGATTGTAGAACAGCTGGATATATAGTTTATTTTGGATACATTTATGTTTTTCTATGTTTTATTTCATGTTCAAAGTGTATTTTATTCATTTTATACGTCGCAAAACTGCTCTAAGGTTCATATTTGTCGCCTGAATTTATTTTCAATTTGAAAGTTCAGTGTAAATTATCAATAACAACGTGTTTTTTTTTTTAGAGAGAAATGCATTGTGTAACTAAAAATTAATCGTCTGAATCATCGTGATTTCAATATTGACCAAAATAATCGTGATAAATAAGATAAGATAAGATAAAATGTGCCTTTATTAGTCCCACAGTGGGGAAATTCCAGTGTTGCAACGCGCAATTCAAGAACAGCAGGGAAAAAATATAACATGCAATAAAACAGATAATAGATAAAGGCTTAAAAATAATAAAAAATAGACTTAAAAATTCTTAGTAACAGTGCAGCATTTACAGTAATACGACTAGATTTTTTCCATAATCGAGTAGCCCTACTTTTGTCAACCCTAGTCTCCATGGAGATAGATTTAAAGATTTAATGCCATACTGCGGGACATGCGGGCAAAGTTTTCTCCTTGTTACTGCAGATTTAAGATTTCTGGAAGGAAAATTCAAGTTAAAATTCACGTTAAAACTATCTCAATACAAAACACGGGCGTGAAAACCAACAAATATGCGAAGCTACAATCAGTGTTGGGAAGGTGACTTTTAAAATGTAATCCCCTACAGATTACAGATTACATGCCCCAAAATGTAGTTTGTAACGGAATCCATTAAATTACTTTAGGTGAGTAATGTAATCTGAATACTTTGGATTACTTGATTTGCTGTAGAGAAGCAAAGACGAGGAAATCTTCACTTAAGATGTTTTGTCTGATAAAAGAAAATAAAAAACCCAGACTTTACTGAACCAAATTAAAAATATTATTGATAGAAAAGGAGGAGACACGTCCACAAGGCTTGGTTTAGTCCTGTTAAATCCTAGTTTAGTCCTGGTTTAAATCCTGGTTTAGAAATGGTGTAGACCTGGTTTAGTCCTGGTTTAGTCCTGGTTTAGTCCTGGTTTAGACCTGGTTTAGACCTGGTTTAGTCCTGGTTTAGTCCTGGTGTAGACCTGGTTTAGTCCTGGTTTAGTCCTGGTGTAGACCTGGTGTAGACCTGGTTTAGTCCTGGTTTAGTCCTGGTTTAGACCTGGTTTAGTCTGGTTTAGTCTTGGTTAGTCTTGGTTTAGTCCTGGTTTAGTCCTGGTTTAGTCCTGGTTTAGTCCTGGTTTAGACCTGGTTTAGTCTTGGTTTAGTCCTGGTGTAGACCTGGATTAGTCTTGATTTAGTCTTGGTTTAGTGGTTTAGTTTTGTTTTAGTCTTGGTCTGGTTTAGTCTGGTTTAGTCCTGGTTTAGTCTTTGGTTTAGTCTGGTTTCTGGTTAGTCTTAGTCCTGGTTTAGTCTTAGTCCTGGTTTAGTCCTGGTTTAGACCTGGTTTAGACCTGGTTTAGTCTTGGTTTAGATCTGGTTTAGTCTTGGTTTAATCCTGGTGTAGACCTGGATTAGTCTTGATTTAGTCCTGGTTTAGTCTTAGTCTTGGTTTAGTCCTGGTTTAGTCTGGTTTAGACTTTGTTTTAGACCTGGTTTAGACCTGGTTTAGACCTGGTTTTTAGTCCTGTTTATCTGGTTTAGTCTGTTTAGGTTTAGTCTTGGTTTAGTCCTGGTTTAGTCCTGGTTTAGTCCTGTTAAATCTTGGTTTAGTCCTGGTTTAGACTTGGTTTAGACCTGGTTTAGTCTTGGTTTAGTCCTGGTTTAGTCTTGGTTTAGTCCTGGTTCAGCCCAGAATGTGAAAACAGGAAAATCCCTCTGTGTAATCCATTTATTTCAACAAAGTAACTGTAATCCAATTATCACTTAACTCACCGAAACAATAACTGCAACCGAATACAGTTTCTCATCATTTGTACTCTGATTACTTCACTCCGGTACATGTAATCTGTTACTCCCCAACACTGGCTACAAACAAACATCTTAAAATTTTGGAAAAAGACGACGCAAAAACCTTAACCAGTGAACCGCTAGAGTCTGTAAACACTTCGGTCAAAACTTTCCAAACAAACCGTCGCATTTGCATAGTCGAGTCGCGCGATGACAGGAGCCAAACTTTGCACCTTTTTATTTAAACAGCTGTCTAGTAAAACCTACCATTTGTATACTCAACTGCTCGGGGAAATGACAGCCAACTATTGTGTGTACGTGGGTTATATTCTTGGGACTATCCTCTGTAATCTGCTGTGAAACTGTCCTGGCTTGAAATGTTCCACGGTATGGCATTAAAGCGTCCGTATTAAACAGCTATTTTCTGATTTACAGCAAGTTATGGTGTCGTTTCTTCGTCCAAAAAGTCGCGTTTTGTTTCATTTTTAAACGCTCAAACGCCGCATATTTAGGCCGAGTTCGTCTCTAAAGAACGGAAAACGCTCTGTTCCACCTTGTGATGTCACGCGGTAATACAGGAAGCGCTCCGCTGTGTTTTTAAACTCACTTTCACGAGGATAGTTTGGGTTATTTCAGCACGGGAATTGCCGATTTCTACCAAACGAACAGGTCAAAACAGGTTAAAAAAAATGTAGGTATTGACTTGAAAACTACCACTTCATGACATCACAAGGTGGCACGGAGCGTTTTGAGGTTTGGAGACGTAAACCAGAGTTACTCGAAGCGCACGTGAACGAAACAAAACACAACTCCGGGTCTGTTTTTGATGAGGTAACCACATTAAAACACAGCAAAAAGCTCACACAAGAGTCAATTTTGATCAATACAGGAGCTTTAAACTTTGTAATCGCCAAGGAAACGAGCTGTAGACGCCGCCGGGTCAAGTTACAGGTCAGATCAGCGGAGAGGCAAGCCCGCTCACAACAACAACACGCGTATTCAGTAACAATAAAAACATCTGTGATTGAAAAAAAAAACGCAACAGACACAAGTTTGATCCCACACTACGCGATATTCACGTCACCGTGGAGACAAGCTGATCGATCGTATAGCTACGGTTCGCCCGAAAAGTTACGCATTGCACCTTTAAGAAGTGACCAAAAGCTGCCATTTTTACCATTCAAACCAACTTCTCAAACACAACTGTAGCTTTTGGCACGTCTCGTCCACGGTTTCCTACACGCTGGCTATAAAAAATGTTTCTAAACCAGAATTTCAAAATAAAAACTGGGACATCCCCGGCTTTTTTGGTAGTTGGTAATAATAAAATTGTGAAACAAGAACGTAAATAAGGAAAACAGTTAAGCAGAGGCCATTCATGACTAAAATGTGAGGCAGGATAGTCACATTTTCTTTGTGTTTTGGTCGTTTTTAAGCAGATTTTTTTGTATATTTCCAAAACAAATGACAGTTTAAGCCTCTGTTTACTGTTGGCAGGGATCAAATTGGTCAAAAATAGAGACATTTCTTGTATAAAACTGGGACAAATCACTGGTTTTGGGTCAATCTGCTAGGACAGGGGGACACAGAACTCAAAACTGGGACTGTCCCGGGTAAATACGGACGTCTGGTCTTGTCCTAGAGCTTTAAACTAAAGAAGGGAATTAGTTAATCCATCCAAACAACTTTAAATCGATAAAACCAAGCCGTGCGCAACAATAATGGCCGGTCTGGCTGCTACAAGTCTGCAACCTTCACCTGTTCCATATAACGGGAATGCTCGCTCGCTTACAAATAGCACACACACCGTGGAACCAACGCTTTCCCAATTTGCAAGCTTTTCCCGTGCGCTTTAGCTCGCCAAACGTGCCCAGATTTGGGGTTTAAAGCGCTAAAACGGCACTGGACAAGTTTAAAATGTCACCGGAGCGAGCCTGCAGTGATTTTTAGCAACAACTAGCACGCAAACTCCTCCGCCGTTGTCAGATTTCACAGGCAGGCAGGCGACTTCGGTTCGGTCAAACGCAAAACGGGACGGAAACTCACCTTGGTTAAAAAAAAAAAAGCTAAAAGACTAAAAAAAAGACGGCTAAAACGGAGAAGTAAGTGTCCCCGGTTTAGATCATGGACGAAAAGTTGGGAAAAGTGAGGCAAAACGGGGGGTAAATCCACGAGAAGTAGCCGCCGAAGCGAACTATCCCAAACAGTTTTCCTGCGAGGCTGCGTTCGGGGCAAATGGAGTCTTTCGCTCCGTGCGCCCTCCTCCCTCGCTCCACGCCTTACGTCACGACGATCCTCCAAGCCCACTTTTCCTTTCAAAAGCAGCGCTGGGAACGGGAATGCAGCCGGGAATTTTGGGGTGGAATCTGGCGTCGGGAGCGTACGGGCGCGAAGGGAAAGTGTGGAGACGGTATGCTTATTACGCACGCGTTTTTTTTTATTTTTTGGAGGTGTGGTGGTGTCTGTTTCATGCGTAAAAAGTTCAGTAGGGCGTTGGAGCATTAAAGCCTCTGGGATGGAGTTCACTAAAAAGGAAAATGTTACGTAATTCATTTAGTTTATTGAGAAAATATGTGTTTACAATTTTGTGGCTTGGCTTCAAATAAAAATTAATCAAATCAAATAATAATAATAATTAGGTAGAATAATAATCATTTAGGCTTTAGGCAAGCTTTATTGATCTAAAAGGGAAATTATTTGGACACAGTAGCTCAAACATTACAATATAATATAATAACAAAGAGAAAAAAATAAATATGCAAATAAAAAAGACTAGATAAGTAGCATAAAAGATAGCAAGAGACAGAAAACTAGGTCTAAACAAGAGCAAAACGAGCTCTCAACGAGAACTAAACCAGGTCTAAGTAAGGTCTAAACAAGAACTAAAGCAGGTCCAAACTCGTTCCAAAACTAGAACTAAACCACGTCTAAAATGGGACTATACCTGGTGTAATTAAGAACAAGGCCAAGGACTAAATTAATTTTAAACTTAATCAGGTGTGAAGGAACTAAACCAGGTCTACAGTAAGACCCATCCTAGTCTAAATGTCTACACTACATCTAAACCAGGTCTAAACCAGGTCTAAACCAGGTCTAAACCAGGTCTAAACAAGCACTAAAGCAGGTCTAAACTAGAAAGAAACCAAGAACACGAGACCACACTGGAACTGAAAAATATTCTGGAAATATTATGACAGAACTTTTAACTATAGAATTAAGAAAGATCGGAACTAGGACTAAACTAGAACAAAACGAATTTATTAACTTATTTCCACAAGGGAAATTATTTGGACACAGTAACTCAAACATCACAATATAATATAATAACAAAGAGTAAAAAAAAAAATAATAATTTTATTATTATTATATATATATATATATATATATATATATATATATATATATATATATATATACACACACACACACACACACATATATATATATATATATATGTATGTATGTATATATATATATATACATATATATATATATATATGTGTATGTGTGTATATATATGGAAATAATTAATTGTAGATAAGTAGTGTAAAAGAGCATGAGACAGGTGTCAAATAAGGCATAATTATATAAATGTAAATATACAAGTGTCCCCCTTGTGGACATTGTGTGTCATACCGGTTTGTCAAAGCCTGATCCCGTCAGATCTCAGACGCTCAGCAGGTCCAGGTCTGGTCAGTACTTGGATGGGAGACATTGGTGGGAATTGCAGCTGCCACAGGGGGGCGCCAGTGGCAAAACCTGTTGTTGTGTCTTTAGACAAGACACTTCACCCACATTGCCTAGTATGAAAATGGTGGTTGGAGGGGCCGATGTCGCAGATTGGCAGCCTCACTCAGTCTGCCCCAGGGCAGCTGTGGCTCCAGTCGTAGTTTACCACCACTGAGTGTGCAGTGAATCAATAATGACTGTGAAGTGCTTTGGTATCTTGAAAGGTGCTATATAAACACAATGATTAATAAATAAATGAATTGTGATGTCACAAAGTGGTAGTTTTCAAGGCAACCCCAGGTCTGAAATCATTCAGATGAGTCTAGTAAAGTTGTATGCACTTGAAAAACACAGTGGAGCACTTCCTGTATTACCATGTGACATGTGTGTTTTCAGTTTGAGAAACAAACTCAGCCTAAATCTGCAGCTTTGTGTGTTAAACATGAACACAACTCTGACCATATTATACATAGATGAGAAAACAGAGTATAATATGTTTCTTTAAAGTGTGACAGAGTTTCAGACGGAGCATGCCCACAGTTAGCATCACACCCTGGAGAATGTGGATGACTTCAGCTGTAAAGTATCAATAGTAGCTCTGCAGATTGATAGTATTTAGCTGAAGTCCAAACACCGGAGTCTGTGTCGTAGTAACAGACGTCCTTTTTAGGCAGTGACTCTGTGTCCTCAAACGCCTCCGCTCTTCTCCTCCTCTGGTCCGGCTCCCACTGGTCACACTCTGCTCACCGCTTTTACCATTATACCAGATGCCCTGCCCTGCCGGAACCACCCACGCAATAAGTGTCTTGCTCAGGAACAGAATAACTACGCGGTCAGTGGACATCAATTTGAACTTTACACACATATTTTTGTAATTATGTCAGATATTTTTTGTGTGTTTTATAAGATAAGACTTAAAGGTACAGTACGTAACTTTCTGGACCTGTATGATTACATGGAAACAGAATAAGTTAATAAAGTTCCCAGTGCAGCGCAGAGTCTCCCACAGTCCACACCACGACCACAGACTCCTGTAAAACACAGACTGTGACCAACACAGAGGACGAAATAATGACCCGACCTGAGACAAATTTCAAATGTATAATATTGTTGAGAATAATGAGTGGAATAAACAGCCCTTCTCTGTGTTTTGGCCAAACTAAACACTTAAATGCACAAAACTGATGGTCATTCTTTTATATTTGTGGATTTTCTGATCAAACTCTTCCTCAAACTCTGTTCACTTTTGCTTCTCTCCACAAGTGTCGCTTTTTCCCCGTGTCTCCAGACTTTGCGTAGAACTTACAGGACGTCCCGAGTTGGCGTAGAGTTAAGGAAAGCGCCTTAGTCGAGGTTCATAAATACCTCGGTTGGCGTAGGGGGCGCGTACGCAAGGATTTGTGCGTAAGCGAGCTTTATAAATGAGGCATCTGGACTGAAAAGTAAAAAGTACTTTTCTTTACAGTGTGAGACTCGCTGAAATGACTTATTTTTAGTACATTTCATTTGAGTTTCTATCCCAACTTTGAGTAAACCAAATACGCAAACATGGCTGGAAAAATTAGAAATGAATCAGTTAAAATCAGCAAAATTCTTTTTCAAAATCACAACATTTCATCTTATAATGGTTCCAAAAATCTCTGCAAAATATTCTTAAAGTACGTTTTTAAACAGGTACTTTAATACAAGCATCACGAATTTCAGACTTCCGGTCATCGCGCGATCCACACTGGGAAGGATTTTCCGAAAAAGTGAGCATCAAACCGTCATGTGGGATGCGTCTATTGTCAAAGTTGATCTTTTCAAGTCTTTTGAACCATATCACTTTTGTTTCTGGTTCTGATATTGTCATATTTTAGTTTTGGGATTCAGACATCGTAATTGTGCAGTTGTTGGATCCTAACAGCGGAAAACAGCTCGAGAAATTTGTTTGCGAACTTCATAAATGCAAAAGTGAATCAGATCTGTGTGAATCTACGTGAAACCTCTGTTCAAACTGTTTCCCTTCCCAACGGAATTGAAAAATAGTGAAAGGTGAAGGCGATGGGCAGGATTGATCCAAGGGAAAAGGAAACTTTGGCTGCTTACGAAATCATCTCGACTTTGCACGTACAGAAGACAAACAGACTGAGCTGCACTTTCTTGTTCTTGTGGTTTTACAGCAACATCACGTCTTGGTCTCTTTGCAGTGGAAGTTGTTTCTTGGTGAACAGTTGGTGCCTTTTGCTTTGGCGTTGACTTTTTAAATTCGTAACCAAGGTGGAGCGAGGGATCGGGATTTTGCTTTGTTGTTGCTCCACATACAAAATGTTCACTGCAAACTCGGGATGATTTAGGCAGTGAAATGTTTCCTTTTTGGTTCTTCCTGTGGATCAATCCTGCCCATCGCCTTCACCTTTTACTATTTTTCAATTCCGTTGGGAAGAGAAACAGTTTGAACAGAGGTTTGAGTCACACACATCTGATTCTCTTTTGCATTTATGAAGTTCGCAAACAAATTTCTCGAGCCGTTTTCCGCTGTTAGGATCCAACAACTGCACAATTACGATGTCTGAATCCCAAAACTAAAATATGACAATATCAGAACCAGAAACAAAAGCGAAATGGTTCAAAAGACTTGAAAAGATCAACTTTGTCAATAGACGCATCCCACTGGGAAAACAAGTATGACGGTTTGATGCTCACTTTTTCGGAAAATCCTTCCCAGTGTGGATTGCGCGATGACCAGAATTCCGAAATTCATGATGCATTTATACTTTCACTTAAAGATTGTATAGAGGATTTTCCAAGGAACGAGAAATCCAGCGACTGTTTGTCCTTTTTCAAATGTTGCGCATGCGTGAAACCACCCCCCTCCCCTACAGCTCCTACGTAGAAACGCCTCCTCCCTCCTCCTCTTTACGCCAGAAACAGGTTTGTTTACAGCCGGTGCTGCACATGACTTGTAAACAACTAACTACAGTGTTGGTTAGGCAAGACGGAGAAGTGAGGAGCAGGGGGTGCGCGGACATTTCGTTCACGGACGAGAAGTGAGGAGCAGGGGAAGAGTGGATCGGGCAGCGGGGAGAGGAGCAGGAAAGGGGTGTAGCAGAGAAGGTTGCGCGGAGATTCAGTGCGAATGAACTAGCTACAACACGCAGCAGCAAGCGGACTCTTTCTTTGCCTTGAAAATTACGTTTTCAGACATAGGATATCGCTTTCGTGTCCTGAAAAACGTTTGTCTCGCTCTTGGAAATAAAGTACGTTTTCATAATAAGCAGAAGTTTTCCTGTCCAGGAGTAATTTGTGGACCAGTGCGTCAGTCTTTAGACCCTGCGTCTGCTTCAGTCGCGCCATCGCTGGAATGAATCTTCAAGAATCACCTTAGTTTGGCTTCGCTGCTTTTCCCCTTGTCTTCTTCTTTCAGCGACCTCAAAAACGGACTTTCTTTTGCGGCGAACTGCTCCTGGATTCTTGTCGCCATCGCAACAAACTTTGTGCGAACTGCGAGGAAGATATAGGTCAAAAAAAGCCGCTAAGAACTGTTGCGTTGGTGGAGTAAACAGCGTCTGTGCGGCTTGCGTCTGTGGACTGCGTGACAGTCGTACGTAAACCACGTACCGGCGGCGCGCAGGCAAGTCAGTTACACTAGAAACGTAGGGAGATTGATTGACAGCCTGTCAGC